GCTCACCCGCCGGGCCCGCCTCCTCGCTGCCCGCCTCCTCGGCCGCCGCGGGCCCCGAGGCCGCCCCGCGGCATGAGAACGAAACCTTGGGGCCGCGCGCGGAGCCCTCGGGGCTGCACTGCGGCTCCCCGCGCCCGCACTCGCCATTCGCGCCGCCCTTGGCCGCGCCAGGGGTGCAGGAGCTGTCGCGGCTGCAGAGCCGAGCGCGCGGGCCGGGCTCGTCCGCCGAGTCCGGGTGCGAGGGGGTCGTGGGGTTCGGGGGTGGCGCGGGTGGTGGCTGAGGTTGAGGGGGCGCGGGCGGCGGCGGCGGTGGCGGCGGCCCCGGCGCAGGGGTCGCGCCCGGACTATCACCGGGCCGCCCGCCGCCCCCGCGCGCATCCATGGCGAGGCGGCGCCGGGCAGTGCGGAGCGGAGCGGCCGCCGCCGCCGCCGGCCGAGCCCGAGGGAGGGCGGAGCCGGGGGTGGAGCCTCTGCTCGCGGGGGAGGGGCGGGGGCGGGAGCCCCGCCTCCACCTGAGCCACCCCCATCCCTCACTGGGATGGATGGGGAAACTGAGGCTCTGGCCAGCAGGCAGGCTCAAGGTCAGTCAGCCCTTTGAGACCTTAGAGATGCGCTCACAGGCTCGGTTCCCCAGGGGAAACTGAGGCCAAGGACGAACCCAAGGTCACAGAGCCCAGCCGGCGGGCCCCTGCCTTGGCTCACGATGCAGACCAGGCCCTGGTCCGCTCTGGGGTTCCTCTGGGATCTCGAGGACACCGCGGGAGGGGTAACCTCTGGCGCTTACCCCGCGGGTGCCAATCCCTTTCTTGGTTCAAGGTGGCAGATTCCATAATAAAAGTGTGTTCCCTGAGGCCACCAGAGCCCTGGCTCTGCCGCTTCACCGCCTTCAAGCCAGAAATCTACAGATATTTTGGGAAGGGCTGAGCTCACTCTGGGTTCTAAGCTCAGCCCATCTCCAAGCGCCACTTGTGGGGAAACTGAGGCACAGTCAGGCAACAAAAACAGTAGATACAGCCTCCTGTGGCATCTGGCGACTTCACCCCCAAAAGGTGCCCTTCAGCATAGTGAGGATCCCAGGTTTGGTAGTCCTTAGAGGTCCCCAGGGGACCCTGGCTCAACGTCTTCCTCTGTACTCATATCTGCCCCCTTGACTGAGACATCAGCTACATTCCACACTTCAGCCCAGCTCCTGGAAGACATTGGCTCCCAGGGGTCCTAAGGCTGTGGCCTGAGGCTATGTGGTGAGGCTGGAGCCAGGTGACACTAGGTCTAACTCTAGATCCCCACCCTTCTTCACCTAAGAGTGGAGAGGATTTTATGACAGGAGGCTGGGGGGAAGGGTGGCAATACAGTGGAAGGATAGCTGGAAACTGGTGGGAAGACCATTCTCATGCAGGGTACTCTTGGAACCTTCTTATGTCCCCTTTGGGCATCCTTAGATTTTCCTGACACCCCCCCCCATTTCCCTGGACCAACCTAAGTTCACCCTTAAATCCTTCTGACCTCCTGGATGCTTCTGGATCCCCTCTAGATCCCTTTAGCTCTTCCACTTCTGGAGCCTCTCTAGATCCCTTTAGCTCTTCCACTTCTGGAGCCTCTCTAGATCCCTTTAGCTCTTCCTAGTCCCTCTTAGCTTCTTTTGGACCCTTCCGGCCCTCAATGGGTCGTCAAGGTCCCTCCAGCCTTCACTGTTTCTGTCCTGACCTTATGCTTAATTAGCTATACCAAATTGGTTGAATATTCCAAGAATGGGGCTATGGTTTCTGCCTGCTCACAGTAGGTGTTCCATAGTGTTGGATGTGCCATGCCAGCTGTATGCCCTCATCTGACACAGATGGGCTTCCCTGGCCCCGGGGACTCCGGATGCCCCTGGCACCACTCTGCCATCCACTTTTGAACATCACAGTTGACAGTGCCAGACTGCGGTCCGCCCTAGGGCACATGCATGTTCCAAATGAAGGGGGATCTTTTATGTTCACCCTGGGAAGATGTCATCCCAGCAGGTTGCCAAAGCCCCAGGACTTGTGGTTGAGTGCAGGGGAGGAGGCAGCATGGCTACGGGCTGTCAGAGGATCTGCCATGCCAGGAGACTGCTCTGCCAGCCCAGGGGTCACAAAGGATGCTAGGACTCAGAGATCTTGGCCTGTGTCTGCACTTGGGGATCTTGTTGATTTGCTACTGTGAGCCAGATGTTTTCAATGAGTGGGAACTGGCCGAGGCCACCTGGTCTCCCCATACCCATGCTGACACCTGCCTCAGAGGTTTTTTTTGATAAGTGACTGGCTCAGGGCTGCTGTCGTGTGTGTGTGTGTGTGTGTGTGTGTGTGTGTGTGTGTGCAGAAGCCAGAAGTCAACCTTGGGTGTCATTCCTCAGGAGCTGTTATTTACCTATTTAGCTACCTTTTGGTCTTTTAGATGTATTTATTTCATTTTATTTGTATGTATGTATATACACCATGTGCAAGCACGATCCTTAACGAAGCCAGAAGAGGGTGTTGGACTCTCCTGGAGCTGCAGTTATTTGGAGCTATGAATGATTGCTTGCCACCATGTGGATTTTGGGAACCAAACTCAGGTCTCCTGCAAGAACCATAAATGCTCTTAAACCGCTGAGTCCTCTCCACTCTCTAGTTTCAATTCCAGCCTTTGGGAGGCAGAGGCAGGTAGATATCTTAAGTTTGAGGCCAGCCTGATCTTCATAGTGAATTGAAGACTAACTAGTGCTACTGGATGAGACCCTACCAACCAATGGCTGAGTGCAGCCATGCACACCTGTAATTTCAGTACAACATCATAGCTACCCCATTCCCCACGCACAGATACACGACCTCATGACCTTTGGAAAAACAAGCCAACCAACCAACAACCCAATAACCCTAGAGAACAAATCATTTGCTTCAAGGGTCTCCTTTAGACTCTTCTCTGCCCTCCCTCCCGCTCCATGCCCTCCCACCACTGAGCAGTCAAGATTCTGGGGTATTCTGAATGGAGTCAGAACCAGGCCAGGGAAGGGATAGAACAGTTGCTGACGCTGCCCCAATATCATTCAGCAAGACAAAGTTGAACTCCTTGGCTGGCAGGATCTGGGCTGTGGGTTTCCTGCCTGGTAGGGAAAGGGTTTCCTCAGGTTCTGATCTACACACATACATCCTGGGTGTCCACTGCACATCTCCCTGGGGTCTAGCTTTCTCTGGCATATCCAGAGAGGGTGGCTGTATTTATTTCTGTCTTTTGGAGACAACAGCTCATATGATGTAGGCTATAGAAGTCAGTATGTGCTGAGGATGACCTTGAACTGACCCTTAAGCTGACTCCACTTTGCAGAGTGCAGACAGGAGTGTATCAGCTCACCAGCCGGTCGTTCCTCACTTAAGCTTTGCCAAGGTGCTTCTCCCTCAGGACCCTGTTGGGTTGTGGAGAAGCTGGCTCACGTTGAGCACCCATCTATGATAGACTTCACAGTGATTGCCTTTTTACAAACTTCAATGCTGCTATCTATCCTGTCTGGTCCTTCTACCTACTTGCATTCCACGAGGATTGCAGAGTAGGTGGACCATGGGCTGGAGAGGGGTTGAGCAGAAGTGACCAGCGAGTTGCTGAGTCCCCGTGGGGTCCTGCCCTATCAATGAGTCTTTGTTTCACCAAGGCCCTGGGTCTTGTCTCTGCCTGCCGGCTGGGGGCTGAATCTCAAAAGACCCCGTGGTTTCCAGAGACTATTTCCAGGCTGTTCTGTCTGTGACAAAGTCAATCCTGTACCCATCTCATCTCAGGAACTGAGAAGACTTTAGGAACAGAGGTGAGCATTTGCTTCTTTGCCGTTCTGGGCTCTGAGGGGCATGCAGCCAGCATTCATTATGCTTTGGTTGGGTTATATGGACAACAACCTGAATGATGTGGATATCACTTTGCTTCTCCAGGGGAAGACTACTGGAGGTGAGCCCTAAATAGAACCACTTTCTAAACCCCTCATTGTGTTCCGTCTTCTGGATGTTAGACTCACAGGGTTAGAGCCACAGTGCCTGCCTCGAGACCCCTGGGGATGAGTGAGAGGACTGGAGCTGCACCTGTAACTGTCGGAGGTCTTTGATGGACAGAATACTAGATAACCATAGATAGCCAGTGCTCGGGGTGAATGCCATGGGCTTGTCTCTACACAAGCCCATGCGGACATTTGTGTAGTCAGTGCCGACTGAATCTTAAGCAGGTTCTCCTGTTCACAAGAAGGGTGAGATACCAGGTATATGCAGCTGCATGTGTGTACTAAAGCCAGCCATTTGGCTGGGTCCAGGGCACAAGTTTCCTCAGTAGATCAAAACGCAGCACCCCCTAGTGGCTGGAAGGCCAGGGAGGTATCTGAGGAACCAACAGCTTTTCCTTGACCTGAAGCAGAGGGCCTGCTCTGGACCCTTACTTTACCTCAGTGGTCCTCAGAAAAGCCTGCCAGTCCCCCAAAGACCTTCCCTCCCCTACCCATCACCACTCTGGGATGCACTCTGCTGGAATCAAAGCTGGCTTCTGGGTCCTGTCTCTCTTGAGCCAGACTATACAATAACACAACAGGCCACATACACCTGTCCTGACCCCTGCCCAAAAACTTAAGAGGTGAAACCAGCCAGGAAGTCCCATGGGTCTGTCCATTTCCCATAAGCAAGTTCATCTCCTAGAAGATGGGTGTCCAAAAGTGTGATCAGTACCATGCCAGAGGCATAGGACAACAGGCAACAATGTCATGAAGACAGCTTTTCTTGGTCACCCATGAGGACTAGAGCTGACCCTGCAGTTCAACTGGTAGGTCAGGACCCCTGGGGCCGCTGCTGAACAAGCCTTTCAATGGAGTCACTTCGGATATCCTGTATGAAAGGATCACAGCATTAGGAAGGCTGGGAACCACTAGTCTGGAAACCAAGCCCTGCTGACCAAAAACCCCTCCCCTGCATTCACTCTCAACACTCACTCTTCCTGTAAGATGGGATCTTGGAGTCTCAAGCAGTGACACACACCATGGTGGGGTAGGTCTTTATTTATGGGGTCCCAGACAGCCCAGCCCCCTCCAACAGTAAGTCAGAGCGTGCCCTGGCCTTTCCCCCTGACCGAGGACAAGGCCCCATTCCCCCACTCCACAGGGCTGTAGTGACACACTTCAGAAGGGAAGGAAAAATAAAAACATAAACCCCTAAGGAATGGATTGTCTGCATAGAAACCTCATTTAGTTTAAACTAGAAACAGGGGCTGCAAGTGGCTTGCTTCTTCCAGGTGGGCTTTCTGTAAGGTAAGGCTCTGTCTTCACTTGGGTTTGGATAGGTCGGGTTGGGTCGGCTCAGGTCGGGGACAGGATGGGACACAGGAGTGGAGGCAGACACTGGGCTGGGGTCAGACGGCCCGGCCCCTCCGCTCCCCGCCTGCCCCAGCACTCAGGTGGCGTTCCTCTGGCGCACATTCTTGTCCTTGTCATTGAGGTGGGTTCCGCTGCCTTTCCTGAGGAGACACAAGGGGGTCACCACTCTGACAGGCCCCACCACAATCTTCCATCATTCCAACAGCAGCCAGACACTTTCCCTGAACCCACCGAGGCCCATCAAAGATGGACACACACTGAGTCCTGGAGGACCCCCCCCCCCAATTTCTATAAGGCACACAGATAGCTCCTCAGAGCCCACGGCAGCTGGACTTACAGTGGGGCGGCACCAGGGTCATCCTCTGCAATCCCGAACAGCCACATGAAGGAAAGAGGACATTGTCAAAGCCTTGTGAGAGCCTTGCTCCACACTGCCATCCCAGGCTCACCATGCAGTTGGCAGCTGGAGGTACTCACAGCCCCAAGCCCTCACAGTGGCTACCTGAGCTACAAGCAGACCCCATCCTCCTTCAGGCCGACACTGAGTTTGGCCCACCCGCTCACCCAGACCCAGGGCTGCTCACCGTCCAGGGTCTGGTCTGGCTTCCGCCTCTTCTCATAGATAAAGATGATGGTAACCAATACCAGGACCTCAGCCACAATGCCCAGGAAGGGCCAGAGGGCTGCCAGGCGGCTGCGTACACGCAGTGAGATGGTCTCCCGAACACTGCCCTGGGAGCTGGTGGCATTACACACATAGGTGCCAGGGTCGATATTTATGTCCAGGTCTCTGATGGTCAGCTCTGTCTTCTCAGGTGTGGAGACCACCATGTACTTGCTATTGGTTTCCGTGCCGTTGGTGATGAACTGAGAAGAGGGGCTTGTCACATCCTGCCAGAGTCTCCTTTACTGTCCCAGGAGCCCCACAACATTCCCTGCCATGGTATCTCTGGAAGCCCTGTCATTCCTGTAACCTCATGTGCCAGATTCCCCTCACCAAATTGCCCCTCCTGTGTCCCCACTCCCACGGCAGCCCTCACTACTCCTAGAACCCCATGCCCCTTCTGCTGCCCCGCCCTCCCTGTGTCCAGGACCCCACGTTCCCACTGCAGCCTCTACTGCCCCACCACCCTTGGTAGCACTCAAGCCCCATGTCCTTAGCTATCGCCCTCACCTGGTCCCCAGTGTCAGAGGTCTTAAACCAGAACCACCCTTCAACAGGAGGGTGGGATGCCTCGGACTTGCAGACCAGCTTCACAAACTCTCCCTCGCTAGAGTGCTCCGATTTCTTTCCGACCTTGATCCTGGGTGGCCCTGTGAGGACGAGAACCCTGCTGCCCAAGCACGTAGACTGCTCTCAGGCCCACACCAGCCCCCAGCTCACCACAGCCTCGGCCTGCGCTCTCCGCCCCCAGATTACCCTCCACATTGATGTCGCCTCTGCCCACAGGCTCAGGAAGGAAGATGCAGGAATATTCCCCAGAGCGGTCATCTGCATCCACCCTGCAGGGGACAGAGCAGTGAGGGTTGGAGCTCGCAGGGCAAAGTAGCCACCTCCTCACCCAGGCTCTCTGTACAGACCACAGGTCCTCAGGCCCGCTCATGCTATACAGGTAGGCCATGCAGCCAGTGCAGAGCTGTGTGTGGCCTAGTACAGCTCCACAGGGTGCATCTGTGAGACGGCGTGACAGGGTCCTCCGAGCACCATGGACTCACATGTACTGCATGTGCAGGTCGGGCAGCGTGTCCTCCTGCAGTACCTTGCCACCTCTCATCCAGCGGTGGCCAACGATGTCAACACCACTGCTGTTCAAAGAGCAGGTAAGCTGTGTCTTGGAGCCGACTTCCCGGACAGAGGTTAAGATGGTGCCCGCTGAGACCACAGGGAGAAAGAGTCAGCTTAGGACAACAGTCTGCCCCACACCCCTGCTTCTGGAATCACAGTGGCTGACAGTCTACAGCCCCAGACTTCTAAGGCAAGCTGATGTCCCACACAAGTAAGGCAAGAGACCCAGCTGCCCAAGCCCCGCCTGCCGCTCCCATAGCTGTGTGGTTCAGGGGGAGTACCATCCCCAATTCCCCACATAACAAAAACACATGATGTCTCATGTTCCCTTCACTGATATTTGACCATCACTCAGAAATGGAAACTAAACCCCCAGAAGTCTCTGGAGAGTCTGCCTGGACTTTTCAGGTTTGCAGTAGACAGTCAGAGCGAACACTTGGGCAGCAGACCCCACCTCTAGCAGACAAACACACAGGGAAGGCTGTGAGCCAGGGGGCAGGTGCATAGAGCACAACAGGGTAGGAGGTCAGGGCGGAATAGAGGACCAAAGGCCTGGGACAGGAGCCGAGGAACCACCTGGAAGAGGGCAGGGCCAAGCTGCACCCAGCAAGGTGACACCAATGAGTGTCTGCCCCACCCATGTCCCCAGGTGAGCCTAAATGAGTGGAAGGTAGGGCCGTGTCTGGTTCTACAAGGTGGGAGCCAGGGTTGGGTGGCACAAGAGGTAAACAGAGACAGGTGCCCTGGCCACTCACGTTCAAGGACCACCACGCTTGCCTGGGCACGGACCCACTTGACCCTGGGTGGCCGGGTCAGGTGGTTGCGATCAGGGTCACTGCTGGCCCGGCACTCGTAAGTGCCTGTGTCCTCTGCGGTGAGCGCATCAACAGACAGCGAGCTGGCTGCATGCTGGTGGTAGGTGGCATGGATGTGAACTCGGTCCAGCCGGGCGCCATCCCAGAGCTGGGAGCAGCTGTCGTTTGGATCATTCCCTTCAAACCACCACTGGATCTCGGGGACAGGGCTGCCCACAGCCTCACAGTGGAGGGACACGATGCCCCCCACCCACCGCTCCTGTGACAGTGGTGCCTTGAGGAAGCCAGCTATGGGAAAGGGTTGCTCCCATTACTACAAGGGAGGAGAATCAGGAAGGACAACCACCAGGGCCTGCCACAGGGGCCAACACATCCAACTCCATTTCTTTCTGCTTGCAGGGAGAATTATGAAGTTAGGTAGAAAACAAAGCACAAAGGGCTGGGTAAAAGTGGTGACCGCCAAGCCCACTCGGTGAAGGACCTGTGTGCAACTCATGCACACACGCGCGCGCACACACACACACACACCAAATGTAACTAAAAAAAGAGTGTAGGAGCCAGGTGTTGTGGCTCGCCTATAATTCCATCACTCAGGAGATCCATGCAGGAGGATTGCTAAGAGTTCCAGGCCAGATGAACTACATGTTTAAAATTGTCTCCAAAACAAAAAATTAAGATAGGGCCTCTCAGCATTACACAGGGTCCTGGGACACTCAGACCGGTGTGCCTACCCCAAACACATGTCCCAGGGGAAGGCAGGGCTTTGCACGCCCACGTAAGGTGTAGCTGTTGTCAGAAGGTACAAGTCTATGGCAGGGCCTCAGGCCCTGTTCTGGGGGTGGGGACAAGATAAGCACTTGCCCCAAAGCTCCAGGGCCAAGAGTGACACCTACCACCAAAGTGGCCCCAAGACCCCTGGGGTATGAAGGACACAGCAGATTTGGTAAAGGATGGTTTCTTGGTAACCTACATTCCAGAGCTGAGATCTTCCAGACTCCCCACCTGCAGTTCCCAGCAAATAGAAGTCAAGGAGTCAGGAGGAGGCCACAGCAGCGCCTTCGCCCTTAGCCCCCTTCCTGTTTACTGCCTCAGGATGTCTGTATCAACACCACTTCATCTAGGACGGTCAGGAAAGACAGGTGCCCTGAAGACCTCGGACCCAGCTGCATTTCTGAAGAGACACTAAACTATGGGTGTCATCCGTCTGGGACATGGCTGACATGTTCCAAGGATCACAAGCTTAATGGTCACATGCCAGGCTGTTAGGACCATCTAGGTGACCCATGATCGGTCTCAGGAATGCAGGGTGCCCCGTGGTACTCCCTGGCATCTGCCACTGACCTTCCCACAGAGAACCTAGCTAGCACTGCTTAAGAGTGACCATTAACTAGGACCCCAACCTTAGGAGCCTCCACAGGGTCTTCAAGAAGTCGCTGGGAGCCGGGCCGTGTCACTTGCAGCCCACAGCTTCCAGCCTGTCCAAACAGCATCCTCCTTTCTGCCTACTTGCAGCTAGGTGAGAGAGCAAGGCCAGCCTGAGGCACTGGGTAAACAAGCCAGCACCACAGGGTGCTGGGAAGGGAGGGGTGCTGTTCTGGAGGGCAGCCCACACCCAGTCTCCTGCTACCCAGTGATGGCCTAGGCTGTTGGCTTGTCACCTCTCCAGAACACCATGTCATTCAGACACCTGAGGAATGTGGGTAAATCAGATCTGTGTAACTGCTGGGGCGACACCCTGCAGTGTCTGAGTGAGTCGTCCTGGCCAACGAGGCTAACCTGGTCACTCGCTCAGAGAAACCATGTGAAACTGGGGTGTAGAGTGCTTAGACCAGCCTGCAGAGACCCTAGTATCAAGTTCCAGCCTCAGACAACCAGGAAACTTAGGTGCCCATGCTACAGGGCTGCCCTCTGAGCAGAACTCCCTCCCCGAAGCCCAGGTTGACCTGGGCTCTGCTCCCAGGAAGGGCTAGGATCTGCCCATAAGCTACACTCTGCACTTGGCTCCTGTGCACTGCAAAGGTCTGCTTATCCCCAGGCAGAAAGCCACTGGGCCTGTGCCCAGAACAGAATAAATCAGCTGCATCCATCTTGCCAGGGGACAGCTATCTGCACCCAACAGCCAGCCTCAGGGGATCACCTCAAGATGTTTCTGTGGTGAGGAAGAGGGCATGGATAAAGTGGGTCAGGATTAACCCTGGGCACTGCTGCCAGGAAAGACCCTTCCTTGTATCTACTGCTGATGGGGGCAGCAGTCATTTGGCCCATTTCTCCAGTGGAGCTCTGGCCCTTTGCCTGCCATCTGGAGTCCACACCTACCACACTGCCTTTCCTTGCTCAACCTTGCCATGACCTTGAATACCTGCCTTCCCTACCTGGGCCTCAGTTGCCCTTTGAGCCTCAATCAGGCAAGGACCTAAGGCCAGAATAGGCCAATCTCCAGGGTGGGAAAAAGCTGAGTATGCGGAGCCTGGTCACTGGAAATCCCATCAAGAATGATAATCCAACAAGTCCCTGGGCCTGTGGTCCAGGCCACTCCCAGGCACTCACTCCCAGAAGTCCCCAATCAGTCCTAGATCAGATGAGCACCGTACCAGCCCGAAGCATGGCTCCAGCCCAGAGGGGACCTCCATCTCCTTCCTTTGCTAGGGGCAAGGACAGATGGCTATTGCCAAGGACTGTGGACTATAGAGAGCCTGCAAGCTCACCCCAAGGAGGACAGGGACAGCTGGGGACATCTGATTGGGACTCCTCCAAACCTAGGGAGGGAACTGCCACTGGGGAATTCCTCACCCAACCTCTACACGTGACCCCAGGGCAACGACTCCACGCAGCCCCCAGTCCTCCAAGCCTAGGATACACCATCCTCAGGCATCTGTGTACCCTAAGAACCCAGAGAGTCAACTCTCAGCCCTTTCCAGTCCACACCCTCCCAGACCTGAGGGCATAACAGGCAATGCTATCCCCCACCAACCACATCTTCCTTCAGATTCCCGAAGCAGTACTGTGCTCCTTCACTAAGTACAAACAGCAATGCGGCAGCTTCCTCCACCCCAAGACCTCCCAATCCTTTCTCAGGTCACCCTCACATCACCAAACAGTCAAGGACCTCCCCAAATTCCTAATCACCTCCCTCCTACCCATGTGCCCAGGCACTTCTGTATCTCAAACCTCCTGAATCATCTCCCTGGCTGGTCCCCCAAGTATGGACACCCTGAAATGGTCGCCCCTCCCACTCAGTCCCCCTAGTAGCCCCAAACCTTGGAGACAGCTCTTGCAGGAAAAAAGGCCGCTTCACCTCCTCTCCCTCCCAGGTGACAGCACTAAAGTGGCAGACCTCTCTAAATCCATGCCCTCCTAAACTAGGGACTCCCACCCCGTTGCCCCTGTTCCCTGTGGGAACCAAGATTGCAGTTCCCTCTACTCCCAGGTCTTCCAAATTTGGGACCTCCCCAAGGTGGCAGCTTCCTCACCCCCCAGATCTCTCCAAACCTGGAGGAAGCCATCTGCAACATCGCTGTCCCCCACCCCAGGTCCCACAAACCTCTCCCAGATGTCCCGAAATTCCCTCCTGCCCATGATTACTTTCCAGCCCTGTCTCTCAAGTGGGGAACCCTCAACCTGGTGGCTTCTTTTATCTTCACACTCCAGGGCCCTAACACGAGGAGGTCAATCTTCAGGGTTAAGTCCCAGCCCTGGTACCCAGGTGGAGACACCAAGATGGTCAAGATAGTAGTTCTACGACCACGGACGCCCCAACTCAACCTCGGAGATGTTGCCCCAGAGCCTTACTGTCTTCCAGCCTCAGGGTCACCTCCTCCCACACCTTCCCTAACTCCCTCAAACCTAGGTCAACTATAGTCATTGTTGTATCTCCAAACCTCCAGGGTCACCTCCCAGCACTATTCTGGGAGTTGGGACAGTTAAGGCAGCGGCTCCCTCCATTTCCAGCTGTCCAAAATCTGGGGTCATCTCCACTCACTTCTGTACGCCAAATTCTCTACATTACCTTCCATGTTCGGGTGGGGACTACCGCAAGGTGGCGGCTCCTTCCACGCCTGGTTCCCACAACCTTAGACTGTCTCCCTCGGAGTCCTAACCTTTGATTTGTCTCTCCAGGGCCTCATCTCTAAGATCATACCCCTCCACCTCGTCGCCCAGTCGAGGTCTAGGGTCAATGCGAGCGTCACCCACAGCCACTGTTACTCCTCCACAAATCTCCAGTCCGGAGCCCGAGTAGGGAACCAAAGCTGTGGCTTCCTACACCACCAAGTCCCCGAAATCTGCGGCTCACCTTAGGTCCGTGACCCCAGCCCGGCCCCAGCACCCCGCTCTTACCCGCCGCGCAGGCGCCTTGGCCGCTCAGGAGCGTGAAGGCCAGCGCCAGCAGCAGCGCCGCCGCCATGTCGCCTCGTCCAAGAGCTGCCCCACTGCGGCTCTATAAGAAGGGCGGGGCGCGCGCACGCAGGCACGCACGTACGCACGCGGCGTCGCAGGGCGGGGCGCCAGACGCACAGCGAGTAGGCACGTACCCAGCGTCCGCCGCCCAGGCTCGCGCTACAGAAGCGGAGCGGGTGGGGAGGCGTTGGCACGTGACCATGCAGGCCACACCCTCGAAGGGGTGGGGCCTGGATCCTGGACTGCCCCTGTGCGCGCGCGCACTCTCTCTCCCCTCTCCCCTCTTGCTCTCCCCTCCCTCTCTCTCCTCTCTCTACCTCTGTCACTTTTTGAGACGGGGTTTGTCTGTGTAGCCACGACTGTCTTGAAATTTATTCTGTAGACTAGGCTGGCCTCGAACTCAGAGATCCACCTGCCTTTGCCTCCCAAGTGCTGGGATAAATGCCTGCCCCACAATGCACAGCTCTCCTTTTCATTAAAAAAAAAAAAAAAAAAAAAAAAAAGAGCCAGGCAGTGGTGGCGCACGCCTTTAATTCCAGCACTTGGGAGGCAGAGAGGCAGAGGCAAGTGGATTTCTGAGTTCGAGGCCAGCCTGGTCTACAAAGTGAGTTCCAGGACAGCCAGGGTTACATAGACAAACCTGTCTCGAAAAACCAAAAAAACAAAAAACAAACAAAAAAAGCTTCTATTTGAGCTGGTTGGTGGTGGCACGTGCCTTTTATATCCCAGGACTCAGAAGACAGAGGGAGCTGAACCTTCTTTCCAGGTCTATAGAGTATATAAAGTAGTAAGGCCCTACCTCAAAAAAGTATTTATGTATGTATGTGTAAGTATGTCTCTCTCTGTGGGTACCACATGAATGCAGGTGCCACGGAAGCCAGAAGTGGGTGTCTGATCCCCTGGAGTTGGCATGATGGGCCTGGTGTGGGTGCTCTAAGAATTGAGCCATCTCCCCAGCCGGAACGTGTCGTACTTATTTATTGATACATTTTATTTTTGCTTTTATGTTGTCTTAAGCTTATTTTGTGACATGGACATTTTATCACAACTTTTGGGTTTTGTTTGTTTGAGAAAGGTGCTCACTGTACAGACTTAGCTGGCTTGGAGTTTACTGTGTAGACCAGGCTAGCCTCTGGCTCCTTTGCTGAAATCCCAACATTTGGGGAGCAGAGGCAGGAGGCTCTCTGTGAGTTTGAGGCCAGCCTAGTTTATACAGTGAGTTCCAGGACAGTCAGTACTGCATAGAGAAACCCTGTCTCGAAAATCCAAACAGGGGCTGGAGAGATGGCTCAGTGGTTAAGAGCACTGACTGCTCTTCCAGAGGTCCTGAGTTCAATTCCCAGCACCCACATGGTGGCTCACAACCATCTGTAATGTGATCTGGTGCTCTCTTCTGGTGTGTCTGAAGACAGCTACAGTACTCATACATAAAATAGATAAATAAATCTTTTTTTTTTTTTTTTTTTGGTTTTTCAAGACAGGGTTTCTCTGTGTAGCCCGGGCTGTCCTGGAACTCACTCTGTAGACCAGGCTGGCCTCGAACTCAGAAATCCGCCTGCCTCTGCCTCCCAAGTGCTGGGATTAAAGGCATGCGCCACCACCACCTGGCCAGTAAATAAATCTTTTTAAAAATCCAAACAAATAAATAAAAATAAAAGTGGGAGGTGAGAGCGAGCAGGAGGTTGGCAGCAACTTCAGAGTCAGCAGCTCCTCTGAGGGGTGCACACCATGCCAGGGGCTTCCAGAATGTCCAGGAAGGGCAGGACAAAGCCTGGTGATAAAGAGGCCAGGACTCAGTAGTAAGTTACTACGAGCCTGGTGACCCACTTACACACCGTGGCAGCTGCCTCTCAGAGGCTTCCGGGGGCCAGAATCCTAAAGTTTCCCTGGAAAGGCCTGTCAAAGCTACGCTATGCTACGTGCAGAATGAGGGTTAGTGCCGGGAGCTGCCAGCTGGCATCAAAGGCTCAGGGTCAAAACAAACAAGGCTGGGCTGAGTGGAATTCCTAACCCCTACATGTTTAGGCCTCTGGGAAATTTCAGGTTGGCCAGGAAGCCCTGTCCTGTGTTTACACAATGAAGCTCTCCCCCTCCCAGGCCGGCTTTCTAGAGTCTAACCTGACCCTACATGGCCAGCAGCCTTCTAAGCCCTTTCACCTCACTCAGCTTCAGCCGCCTGATCTCCAGCCGAACTAGCAGATAAAGATGTGGAAAGCCTGGAATAGTGGTGCATGCCAGTCATTCCAGCACTTGGCAGCTGGAAGCCAGGAGTTCAACGTCCTTTAGCCAAAAGTTGATTTGAGGCCACCCTGGGCTACAGAAGACCCTGTCAAAACCAAACTGAAGCAAAACCGAAAACTAAAACACACACCGAAGAAAGGAGAAAAGGAGCTGGAGAAATGGTTCAGCTGTTTAAGAGCACTGAGTACTCTTCCAGGACAGCCAGGTTTCTCTCCAGCACCCACAGGGCAGCCTACAGACATCTGTAACTCCAATTCCAGGGGAATCTCATGCATGCTTCTGGTCTCCTCAGAAGACACCAGGCACAGCAAGCAAGTGGTGCACCAACGTGCATGTGCATACAGGCAAAAACACCCATACAGTACCATACGTTATTCTCCACCCACAAAATGAGCCAATTTGAACCAAATTAAAGTATATAAAGGCAGGAAGCCACTCTCTGGTGTATTCACTGGAGGGAGGTGGAGAGAAGAGGGAACATGGAGCAAGAGAGAAAGTGCAGAGAGGGAGAGAGGGGAGACACCAAAATATAGGGGTTAGATGGGAAAGAGCTGCTGTGGGAGGGGCAGCCCACCTGGGCTGGAAAGTTCAGGGCAGAGGGCTGGGTATGCTAGCCATGCCCTGTACCAGGCAGGGACTGAGGGATGCTGGGAGAACCTGGAGGCCAGGTCCACTTTGGTATGTTAAATATGCACCCAGGTCCTTAGTCTGAAACCCAATATATATATAAAATAAAATTAAATTTAAAAAGAAAATAACTAGCCAGGTGGCAGTGCATGCCTTTAATCCCAGCACTTGGGAGGCAGAAGCAGGCAGATTTCTTTTTTGTTTGTTTGTTTTTTGTTTTTTGTTTTTTGTTTTTGTTTGTTTGCTTGTTTGTTTTGAGACAGGGTTTCTCTGTGTAGCCCTGGCTGTCCTGGAACTCACTCTGTAGACCAGGCTGGCCTCAAACTCAGAAATCCACCTGCCTCTGCCTCCCAAGTTCTGGGATTAAAGGCGTGCGCCACCACCACCAGACTAAAATTCAGGATTTTTAATTTAATGTTTGTTTGTGTTTTTGCTGTGTTGGAGAGGGAATCCACAGATTGACATGCTTGTAAAGAGGTCTGGCACTGAGCCACGCCCCCAGACCCTTCACTGGGGAATTCTAGGAAGGGACCACCGCACACCAGCCCCCAGCCACTCGTTCCCTAGCCCCTGATTAGGTCTCTGTAAGCGACAAAGTGACCCGACAGAATCCAAGTAAAGAAGAGACTGGGGTGGCCAGGCCTCAAACCCTGGAGAGTCAGAATCCCTGACTCTAGGAGAGGAAGGGCGGGCCCTGCCAGGCTCCATGTGCAAGGATCCGGGTCTGGACCGCTGGCTACAGATGAGAGAGCACAGCCGGTTCTTTTTGTCTGCAGCTATATGGGGACATGTGACTTGCCCTCCTGGTGAGGGCTCTTCTGAGGAGCAGATGGGAAGCATCCTACAGAAGAAACGCCAGGCGCCGGGGCCCAGCCCACAGGAAGGCTCTCCACCTGCAGGTGCTGGGGGGTGGCAGCTCTCTGCCTCTCCCAGGACCGGACTTCCCTTGCTGTAATGAGATATAGCTGTAAAATAGACATGTGTTGTTTGGTTTGGGTTTTTTTCACCTTTTTTTTTTTTTTTGAGACAAGGTTCTTTATGTCACCCTGGCTGTCCCGGAAGTCACTCTGTAGACCAGGCTGGCCTCGAACTCTGCAATCCACTTGCCTCTGCCTCCTGAGTGCCCACTTTTGTATTTTTTTTTTTTGTTTTTTTTTTTTTTGTTTTTAAAAGGGAGGCAGAGGCAGGCGGCTCTCTGAGTTCGAGAGTTCGAGGCTAGCCTGGTCTACAGAGTGAGTTCCAGGACAGCCAGGGCTACACAGAGAAACCCTGTCTTGAAAAACAAAAAAAAAAAAACAAAAAAAAAAGAATGTTTAAATTTATTTTAAGTTTTAAAAATTATTTCTATTACTGTGTATATTCATGCATAAACAAACTTTATTTAATTTTACTTTACGTGTTTGTGTGTTTGGCTACATATATATGTGGGCCCCATGTGAGTGAGTAAGTTCCTAGGGAGGCCAGAAGAGGGCGCTGGATCTCCTGGAAGTGGAGTTAAAGAGGTTTGTGAGCCACCTTGTGCTGGAAATGGAACTTGGCTCCTCTTAACTGGGGGGGACTTCTTTAGCCCCTCTTTTATTTTCTCTTCTTTTCTTTTCCTTTGGTTCAGGGTTTCTTCCTGTCTTCTGCTGGCCTAAACTCAGGATCCTCCCATGTTCCCCTCTCAGATGCGGGGTGAGCATGTTTGAATGAGCTGTCTCCCCCCACACCCGGTAGTCTCATGCAGTATTCTGTCTAAACTCCACCTCCACAATCACCTGGCAACAGCCAGGTATGCTCCTCTCCACAGTTACCTGGCAACAGGCAGGTAGCCCTGCCCACTATAAAAGGAGCTGCTTGCCCCCTCCTCTCTCTCTCTTGTTCCCCTTGACCCAGCTCCTGCAGGTTGCTGTCTGTCCTCCCCTCTTCCCTTCTCCTTGTCGCCACGTGGTCATGGCCGGCCTCCACCTACCTCTCTCTCTCTCTCTCTCTCTCTCTCTCTCTCTCTCTCTCTCAATAAACCTCCCCTTGTGGAACCATTTGGTCTGCCGTGATCTGTCCAAGCTGTGCATAAAAATCTTTGAGCTGAACGCCTGGTCCTTGGTTGGTGGGCATGGTTTGGGTGGAGGTATGTCACCATGGGTGGGTGTGGAGATTAGTCCTCTCAGCTCTGTGAGTGCTCAGCTCCTGTACCTGCTGGCCATACTTGTCACCTATTGTCATAGTGACCCACCCTCTAAAACTCCAACCCTCTGAAACTGTAAGCCCAAATAAACTGTGTCTCCTGTGAGTTGCCTTGGTCTTGGTGTTTTATCACAGCAGCAGAAATGCAGCCAACACAGCCTGCGTGCACACCATGCCAGAGGATTATGGTCTCTGAATCCTGAGGGCCAGGCCTCCTGTGTTCTGTGCTTGGTGTTCACTGCTCACTGCCTATGGCTCCAGGACACCACTAGCTGTCCCATGGTGGTCTTCACAGAGCCTGTCCTATCTCCCAGGCCGTGGCCCAGCCACCTCACGCATTCAGCCTGGTTGTTCCTACCCTGTGGTCTATAGGGATCAGCAGCTAACCAGTGTTGTCCTGGGGAGAAACCAGGTGTGCTGCTCTAGCCTATCAACCAGACACTCAGGAAGCTGAGGCAGGCGAGTCAATGCAAGCTCAAGGGTAGCCTAGGCAATGCAATGAGAGAGAGGAGAGGGAGAGAGGGAGAGAGGGAGAGAGGGAGAGAGGGAGAGAGGGAGAGAGGGAGAGAGGGAGAGAGAGAGAGAGAGAGAGAGAGAGAGAGAGAGAGAGAGAGA